TTTACTTGAGAGCAAGGATGTTGAAAGAAAGAGGAAGTGCTTCCTGCACCTTCTCCTTTAGAGGAGCACACGCTCATACTTTCCAGAAATCGTGATTGAGCAACATGCTCCGAGCTTCGGGTCAGAGACAAAAGCTGCCCATGTGTGCTTGTATCTCCTGGAAGATCAGAGTCCACTGTAGCAAAAAGACTTGCGAATGCAGCCCAGAGTTCACTGCCAATGGTGTGGGCCGCACGATAAGATCTGTGCTTGAGTCCCTGGAAGACACATCCTAGGGTCCTCTGAGAGGAAGGCCTGGGCTGAGGGTTGCCCAGATCAGCTTGGCCTGAGGGTATGTCTTGATTGTTAATTGATGTGGGAGGACCCAGCCCACTGTGGATGTCACCGTTCCTTGGGCAGGTGATCCTGGATTGTGTAAGAATGCTCATTAAACACTGGGAGCGCAGTCAGCAAGCAAAGCTCCTCCATGGTTTCTGCTCCAAGTTCCCACTTGAGTTCCCTCGGGGATGGACTGGGACCTGAGAGTATAAGGCAAATCAGCCCTTCCCCTCTAAGTTGCTTTTAGTCAGAGTCTTTTATTACAGCAACAGAAAGGAAACAATAGCAGTTGGTTTAGAGAAAGGCTGCCACTGTGTAGCACATGCTGGCCTAGAACCCTTTGTCTTCCAAGCACTAGAATTTCAAATCCCTGCTACACAGGACTCAGAGCTGGGGTTTCTGATCAGAAATCCACAGCACAGCTGTGGGCACGTCTGACCTAACACAAAACACACCTCTGCCCAGTGCGGATTGAATGCACAGACTGGCTAGAAATCAGTTGATTCATGGTTCTCAGAATGTGATCCACAGACCCTCGGGGTCAGTATTATTTAGGAACCTGCTAGAAATGCAAGTGTCTGGCCCCCGTCTGCTGAGGAAAGAGTGCACCTGGAGTGCTGTGTAGCAAAAAGTCCCCTATAGGATTCTAATACTGGAAAGTTTGGCAACTGCTGAGCTCATTAAAATTAGAGGGCGGGTTCATAATTTTAACAGACTTACTAGCCTCAGCTGCTGCCTTGGGCCTGTGGAGACCACAGAGAGGCCCGTGTGTTGGTGGAGTATTTGTCAGCAGTGAGCGACCAGAGGGGGCGGGCAGAGCGAGCACTAGGAGGGCAACTCATGCACAAACACAGCGGGGGGGCCAGAAAATCAGTTCTGTTAGTACCGTGTCTCGTACCATGAGATAAACTTCTGGCTCCCAGGAGCATGTGCGATTTCGCTGACAGCCAGCTCTTGTAGTGGAGAGAAGGGACAGGCAATTGTGGGGGAGGGGGGGTATAAAGCCATGAGTCTGGGGAGATGGCTCAGCGGTTACAAGCACTTGCTGTTTTGCCGAGGATAGGGGCTCCATTCCTAGAACACACCAAAGGTTCATAGCCTTCGGGAAGCCCAGCTCCAGAGGACCAGATATCGTCTTCTGTCCTCCAAGGATGCCAGGCTCTTCTGTGATGCACTTTCCATACAGGCAGGCAAACATTCATCCATATAAAATATAAAAATAAAACAAATCTTGAAAAACATGAGAAGTTGTATGAGTAGGTGATATCCAGTCCTGTGACCTCCTGCCCTTCGTGTGCGTGGAGGCCTGACTTCTTCCTCTTTAAATGCACTGCCCTGTGGGACACTCTCGGGTCAGGAAGGGTGGCCAGAGCACACGGGTGAGTTCCAAAGCACGGGATCAGGGCAGCTGGGTCAGCAAGACCAAGCAGAGCTGTGGGAGCTAAGACCATACACGAGCACACACAAAGTCAGTCCGCCGGAGCATCACCGCGCACTACAGGTATGGAGAGCGCTTTCCAGAGCCCCGGCAGCTGAAGCTGGCTGTAAACCACAGTGGCTAAACTGCAGCTGTCAAGCCAGCCCGAGCTTGTCATGTCACCTGTCTCACCCGACCCGCCCTGACTGTATTGCCAGCAGCCACCCGGGACGCTCACAGGAACCTGAACTCGGCTTGAGTGTACGTCACTGGTAGGACCCTTCCCTGCACGTGCTATGGCCTGGGTTGACTCCCAGCAGTACAGGATTGTTTCCTCAGGCTCTCCTCCCTGCTTCTCCCCCATCTTCATCCTCCCCCTTGCCCTCCATCCTCAGTAACTTTCTTTCTGCTTTTATATCACATGATCATTTTGCCCCCACTTCCTCAACACCTCTGTCTCCGATAACGGACCCCTTTTCAGTTTCATAGCCAATACCCACACTCCATCCCACTTACGTATTTATGTTAATACATATATAAAAACATGGAAAGCTGCAAGCCACCTGAGACAGAACATGTCCTGTTTATCTTTCTGAGTCTGGATCACCTCGTATAATATAATTCATTTAAGATCCCATCTACTTTTTTACAATTTTATTACTTCATTTTTCTCTAAAGTTGAATAAAATTTCATTGTGTAGTAAGGGTTGTGTTTCCGTGAAGCTCTGGATAGCAGTTTCTCAGAGAATAGAGACTCCCTCTGCGGAGAATAAAAAAGATGGCATTTCCCATGCTCAGGGAAGTGCCCAGGGTGGCCCATGTGCTGCTCTTGACATAGCTATAATGCTTTCTGGCTATGATGTCCCAGGCCAGGCGGGGCTCACCAGCTCAAAGCAATTGGAGGACCTCTTCACTGTCAGCGCCAGCCCCTCAGCAGACAAGGCCAGGTTAGAGTATCACTTTCTGTTTCATTGAACATGGTGGATTGATTTTCAGAAACTGAGGTGCCACATTTACTGTGTATTCATGTGGAATCTCAATTACAAACCAGTTCCTTATAACCAATACTAGTAAATCCTGTGTGATGGCACTGTCTTTGGGGCTCCCTTGGACCCAGCCCTCTGTAGGCTCTGGGATAGACAGTCAATAAGTATAGAGTAAACTAAATCAGAGTCATTCTGAGTGGTGGGCTCCCGATGCTGTGTGTCCAACCGTTGTCATGCATTAAGTGTGGTGTGGTGTGTGTGTGTGTGTATGTGTATTCATGTGTATGTAAGTATGTATGCATGTATGCCTGTGTGCATGTGAGAACCAGAGTTAGATGTCGAGTGTCTCCCTCAATGGCTTCCCACTTTATTTTTGAGACAACCCTGGAGCTTTTGGATTAGTCTGGGTTGGCAGACCAGCAAGCTCCAAGGACTGTCCCAACCCTACCTCCCTAGTACTGGGATTACAGCCACATCTGACGTTTACATGGCTGGTTGGGACTGAACTCATCCGTTCTCATGCTTACACCGCAAGCGCTCACCAACAGAGTCGTATCTGCTCAGCCCTGTCATGCGCTAACTTGTGTGAGGCCGCAGACATCCCTGAATCCCATGGCCACTGTCCAGACACCAGGTTCCTATCTCACATGTGTTGGGGAGCCAGCCACACACCTAGCTTATGCAGGGGAGGGCACTCTGATCTGTCTTCACAGTACTGGTACTGCACACGCAGTTGCTCGAGATGACTCAACTCCTGCAAGGTTTATGCTTTTGCTCCCTTAGTTGATGAGGCTCCAGGAGACCCAGAGACTTCTCAAATCCTCACAGTGACAAGGCAGGTCTGAGATTTACATTTGACAACTGTGCTTGGCTCCCATGCAGTGAAGGAGCAGCCTTGAGCCTCTCTTCAGAACTGAGGGAGGACCTTGTCTTAGCCACAGCATCTGCCATTTTTTGGGTTTTTTTTTTTTTTTGCAAACATCCTGCCATTCCCCCACCTCTCCCATTCAAGTCATTACCCCCACCTCCTCATCCCTTCCTCCAGCTTCCAGCCATTTCCTGTTTTAAAATAATTCGCTGTCTCTGGAATGATGGCAAGTCAGCAGCAAGCAATAAGAGTCTCCCCAGAGGTTCCCCCCAGGGAGTCTCCGAAGGGAGTTGAGTGGGTGAGCAAAGGCACAGCTTCCCACAGCAACAGGAAGTGGAAGCAGATGAAGCAGTAGTTCTAAACCCCAGGAGGCCTTCAGCTCTGCTCTTCAATGAATGAATACTGTCCTCAGATGCTTGGAGCAGCCTCAGTCCCCTGGCTGCGGTTGGTAGCCTGTCTAATCAATGGGGATAGCATTACAGATTGTGGTAGGGTGGAGACAGAGGTGGGGACGAGCGCCCCAGTGAACACTTCGTATTATTAAATTAGAGAAGACATACGCTTAGCAGATGGTGAGGGATGCTAGGTGCTCCTAGGGGAACTCCCGGGCTAAAGGTTGAAAGATGCCTGAACACCCTCCTGCAAAATGGGCAGCCCTGGTGCTGAGACAACAAAGGTTACAGGACAAGCTTTATGTTTGCCAGAAGTCACCTAAAGAAAGTGTTCTGTGTAGGGTCCCAAAACCCTAACAGTAAGCTGGAGTGAGGGTAGCAGGTCCCCAAGGAATGTACGAGATCAGTGGTCCATAGCCAAAGTGCTATGGAAAGGCCTTCAACTCCAGTTAATTGCCAGACTGTCCTTTCATGACTGGAGTTGGCGGGCCCATCACCATGTTGGGGAAGGCGCTCACATCAGCTTACTGGAACTGTCTGTCTGTCTGTCTCCACACAGCGGACAGGGCAGTTGAGGAATAGTCTTGTAGATAGTTACTGAAATAGGTTTGCCGCTGCCAGTAATCCCTGGGCCCTCCTCCTCACTGCCTTCTCTCAGGGCCTGCTCAGCCGGACACACATCTCCACATGGACCCACTGAGGCTGGTGGTAGAGGACCTGCAGCCACAGAAGCCTGGTCTGAACCTCGCTGGTGCTGGCAGCTCCCATTAGCTCATGTGTCTCGCCGTCCTGTGTTAATGTGTAGATGGTTGGGTGGCGGGAGGGGCGGCCTCAGGCCTGAGTGGCCAGGTGAACAGACAAATGAGACTTCACACAGGACTTCACACTACTCTGTCTAATCGGGTCACTGCACAGACTTAAGGCCCGTGCCTGGACTGTTCCTCTGGGGGTTATGGCCGACATCTTAGGGAACAGGAGGCTAAAGACCCCCACTCACCCATTCTCCTTTCCATTTACAGATCATCAAGGAGGTCCCGCCACCCCCAGTTGAGGAGAGTGAGGTAAGTGGCCAAAGTAGGACGCTTGGGGTGGGCAGGTGGCAGAATGAGGCAAATTGGCCCATTATAAAGCCCCCTGGGGCCCCACTGCCTGTGAAAGGGAACCTTTGGGCCTTCCCTCGCCAGGGTAAACAAGACCTGAGCAACACAGGCAGCCAGGGGCCCGCTGGTTTCTCTCTGCAAAGACAAACTTTAAAGTGCATACATTTGTCTGGCATTTCTGTTTTCAAGGATTATGGAAGATTTTCTGCCAAGGGGATATCTTTGGTTGTTGACTTTTTTTCTGTGCTTGAATCTGGATGTCACACATGCTCCATGAGCTCTCCACCTGAGCCATGGCCCTAGCCTCCCCCGCCTGTTTTCTGAGACAGGATTCTGTGTCGCAGGTTGGGCTTGGACTCCTGTTGCTGCTACCTCAGCCTCCCCAGTGGTGGGATCACAGACATGTCTCACGACGTATGAATGCTTTTACCAGCACAATGAATAATTTGAGGTTTTAAAGGTCTAAGTTTCCCTCGGAAACGTATTAGGATTCCTGTCCCCCTGCAGATATACACTTCACACGTATAGGTTGTGGCAAATTTGCCACACTCTGCATAGAATTCCTGCTCCTAAGACCGGTTGCCAAGTTTCCCATTTTTCTTTAATTTAAAACAGTATTGCATAAAATCTATGAATTTTATACAGCATGAATCTATGCTGGAGCAGGATGTACTAATATCCTGGACTCACTCTCAGATCCTCACGGTCTACAGACAACCGCTCAGACTCTTCCACTCAACGGGCCAGGAAGCTGCTGTGCTGCAAGGGCGGCTCTAATAAACCAGCAGAGGTGTTAACAGCTGCCAGTGGGCGGGAGTTCACAGCAAATGGCTTTCCCAGCCTAGGACTGCTGGGTTCCTTGCGGGTAACACTACCAGAGTAGAAGCCCTAGCTCTGAAAGCTTACTGGGGCCAAGAAGAACCAAGATGGGGTTTCAAGCTCTTACCTAGGTTCCTGTAGGTTTTTGTTGGTTTGTTTTATTATTTTTTTGTATGCACCTCAGATACCACCTCTTAGCTGTCTCTGTCCCAGTTCAGCCTCTGTCCCAGCTCAGCCTCTGTCCCAGCTCAGCCTCTGTCCCAGCTCAGCTGTCCCTGTCCCAGCTCAGCCTCCCTACACAGAAAGAACGATGATTGGGTTTGAAATTCCATGTGTCTCTCGTGTGCTGAAAGCTGCATGAACGCCGAGAGACTTAATAACTGCAATCAATTAAAGCACATCTTGCAGGAATGTTAGCTCTCTGCCCAGAAATTAAGAGAGGAAATTGCATTGTGCAGAGAGGAAGGAGAAGAGAAGCCTCTCTCCATGTTGAGTCTGTTCTTAACCCTCCAAGAGCAGGAACCTCAGCTAGTCCACATTTCTCTCTGACTTTGCCTGTGTTGTGTGCATCTGTCTCTTGGACCAGAACAAAATGAGTGAGACGTCCTGACGGCCGCTATGTTCACTCTGGGTGGAAAATGTTCCCCCTCAGTGGCATTTGGAGTGGCTCCTTCTGGGGAGTGCTCGGAATTGGCCTTTTGAAGGTGAAATGCTGGAGATTTTGGTACTATGGGGCCTGATGTCCTCTACATGTAACATCTAGTACAAGGTTTCACGGACATCATGGGTGCACAGACATGCAAGATGCCAGGCTGGAGCCCAAACAAGAAAAAATAGACAAAAGCGAGGGAAAGGAAGAGACAGCTTTTTTAGCTTCGTTGGCATTTTTATGGAGACCATACTTGACAGAAAAAGGCAAGCATAGTTCCTGAAACATAATGATGACCGTGGACACTTGGGACCTGAAGGCTTGTGGGAGGCTTAAGGCAACTTCCTACTGCCAAGAAGATTACTTCAGCATGTGTATTGGCCCTGGGGCTCCTGGGGGGCCCTAGTCCCCTTCCTAATGTGCTCTTGCAGGAAGAAAGGAAAGAGGGAAATCCCACGGAAAGAAATAACTTAACTTCGACCATGTTAAGTATTTTATTCAATGCACTGAAAATCGTAATTGGAATCTAGACGACTTCTCCAACCCAGCCCATGTGAAGATCCCAGTGAGGCCTCAGCACAGCTTGTGTGCACTGGCCTCGGAGTACCCTGAAGATCCTCCTCTGATGTCCTCAAGTGGATGCCTCCCTTCTCCTTCTTGGTGGTCTCTGGGTCTTGCATTAACTCCTCCCTCTGCATTAAAGCTTAAGACGATTAGATACTCAAAGGTCAGGAACTATCTAGTTAATCTGAACGCAAACTGGGAATGGCAGTGCTTGCTGGAGACCCCAGCACTGAGGAGGCTGAGGCAGGAGGACGTCCAGCTTGAGGTCAGCCTGGGTGGGGGAGAGAGAAGAGAGAAAAGGGGGAGATAGGTTGCCCTGTGAAGGCAACCCCTTGCCTACTGAGTATTAACTGGCCTTCATCAGGTCTGTGACCATCACTTCCCAAGGGAGGCTGTCCTTGTCAGGGCTCCTACTGTGGTGAAACACCATGGCCAGAAGCAGCATGGGGAGGAAAGGGTTTATTTCTCTGACGTTTTATATAACAGTGCATCATCAAATGCAGTGAGGACAGGAACCCGGAGGCAGGAGCTGATACAGAGTGCTACTTACTGGCTTGCTCAGCCTGCTTAGGACCCAGGACCACCAGCCCAGGGGTGGCATACAGTGGACTGGGCTCTCCCCCATCAATCACTGTTGATGGAGCACTAATTAAGAAATGTCCGACAGACTTGCCTACAGGCCAATCTTAGGGAGACATTTTCTTAGTTGAGTCTCCCTGCTCTGATGACTCCAGCTTGTGTCAGATTACATAAAACCGTCCTGCCCAGAGGAGCTCCACTGTATAAATAACTAAACTCAGGATGAAGGCTGTTTTTGTGTCGAATCCTCTTTGATAGGAAGTACAAAATGCTCAGTGCAAAAGGTACGCCTTTTCGGGATTCCCTGTCCCTGGAAGTGAAATTCCTAAGCCAGCGTAAAGAACGGCCACCTGAGCTTTGCAGATCTCAGCAGAAGGGAGGAAGCTCAGGGTAACACCTCAAAGGGGACCCGGGGGAGAGGTCTTCTCCACTGACACCAGAGTGAGACTTGATCTTCTCTGACTTTGTCCCAAAGAGTTGGCAGTTCCTGGGAGATTGTGTTAGCAGTGCCCTCTGTCTGGAGGCTCATCTAGGTATAGTCATCTCTACGGATGCCTTGACTACATTTGTATTAGAGTCATGCCGTTTACTTCATGACAACATAGCTCCCTCGAGACACAATGTTATCCAACAATGAAGGTTTCGGTAACTAGTGCTTATCCAGATCATATATACATACATACATACACACACACACACACACACACACACACACACACACACACATATATATATGTATGTATGTATATAGCAGAGAGAGGGTTTGACTCCATATCACTATTGACTGTTTAGATGGAGATGGGTAAACCCAGGGAGAGTGTGACTGGCAAAACACAGAAGGCCAGCAGCACCAGCCACTAACACTGTCTGGCATGGGACCTCCACTACAGTCATTGGAGGGAATGAAGGAAAGGACATACAAGTGGCTCTTGTTTGGGGTCACCCAGGGTTTATCATATGGGTTCAAGATGTGTTAGGGTGCTAAGATACTTAAAGTCCCAGGGGCCCTCACAGTGAGCTGGGGAACAAAGCTCCCCTTGGTCCCAACTGGGTGTGGATGTCAGAAAAGCAGGAACAGCCCAGTGCTTTGAAGGCTGTCAGCCTTCATCCTGGTCCAGTAGCAGTGCACTGCATCTGTGCAGGAGGTAGGGAGTCCCAAAATCTGAAACCTCACTCCTTCCACCCACAGTTTTGCTTAATAACTAACTAGAAATTAAATATTTGTTGGGTTGGTAGAGGTTAGCACAAGGAGCCTTGAATTCTCTGGGAACTGGAACTCCACACAGGTTAGGTAACTTACGAAATGTCTGGAGGAAAAGGTAGGAGGCATGGGGAAGGCACACAAACCCCCGCACAGTGCAGTGTGGGATCGTACCAAAGCCTGGCACAGCGGGCAGCGTTAAAGAGCATAGGTTCTCGGGTTTCCTGAGAAAACTCAGCTTGGTCTTCCTGAAGACAAGCACGTCAGACTTGGCCTCTGTCGTCTGAGGGATGCTACCACGGCGTTGCCCAAAGGTTAGTCTAGTGACGTCTGGGCAAAACATCCTTTAAGATTTAAACGTGACTTCTCCTGGTGGGAAACCGAGTGCAGCCCCGGCTGGGCCCTGTCTCACACTGCTGATGGCTTTCGCTGCTGCTGTGTCATTTTGTCCCCTGGGTTTGCTGGATTCCCATCCCCCTTCCGACCTATGTAAGGGGCTGGAGGGCGGCACTGTGCGGCCATGGCTGTGGGTGTAGCTGGCTCTCCTCTCCCACCCTGCCGTCCGTTCTCCCTGCCATCTCCTGTGGGTACCCTCACAGATTAGGTGGCTCAGCACATTCCTTTCTGACCACGCCCTACTGATTCCTGCTCCTTGGTGCTGTGAAACAGTTTGGCTCAGTCAATCCTGACCTCCGGAACTATGGAGGTCACCAAAGTTTATTTACCAAAACAAAAATCTGAATACATCCCCAAAGGTGATTGGGGAAAGACACCTCCCAGAAGCACTGAGCCCCAAGAACTTGCTCCAACTACTTTTGGTCAAGTGAACAGACACATCAAAGGTTCTCCTGGCTCTCCGGGATTGCGCAACTCTGCAGGCCCTGGTGCATACACAGCACTGTGCTTCCTGCAGGGAAACTCTGGCTCTCTCTTTGCTCAGACCTTGGGCTCAGGGTTGACTTTCGTGGCTGTTGTTTGGTTTGGAGAGGAAACTCAGGTCAGAGACTAAAGTGAGGCTTTGGTGGAGCTGACCGAATGTCTAAGTATTTCCTGTTGTGAATCTACATGCGGTGGGGGGAGAGGGGGCACCTGCCTCTGGATGACCTGCCCTTGAGAGTGGAGAAGTGGAGAGAGGGGTGCCTTGAGTGTTCCAGGAAGCCAAGGAAAGGATAGAGATGGATTTTTGTTTGTTCTGTACATAAGCATTCAGCTATCTCAAAAAAAAAAGCAAAAGCAAATTCAGACATGACTCAAGTTCTTATACTAAGGAGTGGGGCATCCACTGCATAGGGCATTAAGTCACCCACAAACTTCCTGTCCGCTGCTTGGGATCTGACAGTCACTTGTGTATCCTGGAACAGCTGGAGTAGATGGTGACCAATGTTTGCACTTCTGTAACTGACAAATGACGTCACTCATAAAACCATCTTCTCTTGTTAGAATACAATACCCAAGGCTGAATGGTTTATCAAGAAAAGAAACTAATTTCTCACAGTTCCAGGAAGTCCAGAGGCAAGGGGTCTGCATCTAATGAGACCTTCTTTTGCGTCATTCAGAGAATCTCCTAACATTGTTGCCTTAGGGATTACCCTCCCAACCCATGAAGAGCAGAGGCACATTCAAACAGCACCCTGCTGTGAAGGAAAGGGCCTGCTCCCGGGGCTGTCTGTCCACAGACTGTTTAACACCCATTTTCACGGATCAGGACAATGTACTTAGACTGAATGACCTCCAGAGTCAGTGAGCATGGGACTTAACTGTGCTCTGAAACCGTGAGGTTTGACTGTACCAGCTTGTTCCTGTCCACCTCACCATAATAGACACCCACGACCTTAGGGGACTTTGTCTTTATGTCTCACAATCTCTCGGCAGGAGGAAGACGATGACGGTCTGCCTAAAAAGAAATGGCCCACGGTAGATGCCTCTTACTACGGTGGACGCGGTGTGGGAGGCATCAAAAGGATGGAGGTAAGAGCCCTCGCACAGCTGCCTGTGGCCAACCACCTAGCGATAGACACCCACAGAAAAGGCTTGGGGTTTGGGGAGAGGTAACTTATGAGCTATGAAGATGGAGAGGTGGAACGGTACAGCCTTTAACCGCGTGCCAGCATCTTGCCCATCATGAGTCAGCAGAGGTCACATGTCTTCCAAATCCCCCAGTGGTTTCTGTTTTCATTGGACTAAACCCCACTTCTCAAACTCGTCCAGGCAGTTCTCCCCCTAATTCCTCCAGCCCATGACTCCCCATTTCTGTCAACCTTCCTGCTCCCCACTTTCCCTTTTCCCACATCTCTGGCTCAAGATCCTAAAGGAACAGAGGACCTGCTAGCTTGCACATTACCCCGTCACCCTGGTTCTCCAGGGGCAAACCGTGCGATCCTGTAACTTTGTTTTATGGGCTTTCACCACCATTAGGTTCGCTGGGGAGAGAAGGGCTCCACGGAAGAAGGGGCTAAGCTGGAAAAGGCAAAGAACGCGAGAGTCAAGATGCCAGAGCAAGAGTATGAGTTCCCGGAGCCCCGAAATCTCAACAACAACATGCGCCGGCCTTCCTCCCCCCGAAAGTGGTATTCGCCCATCAAGGTGTGTCTCTGCCCAGTCCTTTCATCCGTCCGTCTTCCCAGCTATGAGCCAATCTTCTTTCTTCTCCATTCTCTCCCCCGCCCCGCCCCCTGGCACTCCACTGTTAGCTCTGGGCCCTAACTGATGCTGGTTTCTTGAGAAGTTAAAGCCCTGGGAGGTGAAGAATGCTTCTCGGGGGGCTTTTGTCACCGTGCGTGCACATGGCTCATGTGAGGGGTCAGGACTTTTCTCTGTGTCCTTGCCCCTCTGCACCTGCACTATGACAACCATTGGAACCCTTGAAACTTATAACTCTAGACAAAATTCATCCCAACTCCCGCAAAGTCTGTTCTCCAAGGTTTGCAAACCAAGGTTCCAGCTGGATAGTCTCCTTCCCCGCCCCCACACGTGCCTACAGCCTTGCCCCTCTGCCAGGAGCTACACAGACAAGTTTTTTTAGCCTTCTCTGAGTACTTCTTAGCTTAGGAACGGCCCTTATACAAATCAAGAGAAATGCCAGGGTTGGGGAAGGTAGTTGAGTCTGTAAATGATTGCTGCATAAACGAAAGATCCCCGGGGCTTGCTGAAGCTTCCTGGATAGGGACTCTAGGCAAATTGGTGCGCTCTGGACTCAGAGAGACTGTGTCTCAAAAAGTAAAGCAGAGAGTGACCAAGACACCCAAGTCCATCTCTGGCCTCCACACGCACATGTGCGTGCTTCTAGGTAGAATGTGTCTGGACTGGAAGCTGCCGTTTCTCAGGGGAATGAGCTCAGGCTCACAGGAACTTTGGTGCAGTTTCCATTCGGGCTTGTTTAAAGCCATGGATTCTTTTTTTAGGATAAGCCTCCCCGAGGCAAAGGGTTGAACGCTGAGCTGTGGGTGAAGCCCAGCTGGCTGGGGGGCCGGCTGTTGCTGCTAATGCTCTGCCAGTGAGGAACGTGCAGTGGCGTGCAGACATGTGCAGCCGTGTGCAGACAGGAAGGAGCCGAGAGGATCCTCCGAGAAGAGGAAGGGGGATTTTCTGTCCTGCTGTTTTCAGGAATTCACCTTGTGACTAACACTGCATCCTTGGTTCTAGCTGAATTTTTATTTCTGGAATCTTCGAGGCTGGGAGAGCATGTTGTTCCTTTCTTAACTGGTAGCTTCGGGGTGAGTTTTGCTAAATGAATCAGGATGTGGACAAATAGGTTTAGAAATCTGAGCATGTTGCCAGCACCCTCCTGGAATCTGTGTCTGCCCAGTGAGTCCTGTCAAGTCCCTGCTGAGCCGGGCACAGATACTGATGCTGGGCCTTCTCAGCCCTGTGTGAGCCAAGGGTGGGGAGAGGAAGTCAGAATGAGGATCCAGGTTTGGAGGCCCAATCTCACAAAAGACCTCCAAGGTGTCCTCAAGCCTAGCCTATTCCAGGTGCCAGCTCAAAACTATCCCAGTGCCAAGCCTTAAGATTCCACACCCAAGCGTCCCACCCAATAATACCTTTCTGGTGCCCCAAGGACTTCTGGCTGGTGCTCCCTCCCCTACCCTTCCTCTTTGAGAAAGTGTCTCCCTTAGTTACACAGGATGCCCTGGTGCTTCTGGCAGAAGGATCACAGGCATGCTTCATCATGCTAGGGTCCTGGCTCCCGAGCTTCCTTGGTCATCGTAATAAACCACACATTCTCCAGTGTCGTCCCCAAACCATCAGCATTGGCTTCACCCATGAATTTGTTAGAAACACATATTGAGGGGTCCCACCTAAGAATGGCTGAATCAGAAACTCCAGTATAGGGCCCAGAATCTGAGTTTTAATGAGCCCAGTAGACAGGGTGTCACCAGAGGTCTCTAGCACCATTGCCTGAGGCAGGGCTGGAGCTCAGAGGATAGGAACTGGGCACCTGGCCATTTCTCTGTGACGTGTTAGGAGTCTCCGCAAAGAAACCTGGGTTACCTTTCACATCAGGGCCATTTTAATACCACCACATTGATGTGACATCACTTGGAATCCAAGTCTTGGAGGCACCTCTCAGGAGAGATGAAGGAAGCCTGTGAGATTCTTGACTCTTGCCTGGGCAAGGCTCAGGTTGAGGTCATGAGCAAGCTTGCAGGCTCCTCCTGCCTGGTGGCACAGCTAATGCCAGCTCTCACACAGGCCCTCCGCTAGGTCAGAGATGGGCGGGTCACAAGTGGGGCCAAGAAAGCACTCCCAAGCCCCATCACATTAGACCACCCAGCTCCTTCAGCACACTCTGTCCAACTTCATTCTCTCTCTCTCTCTCTCTCTCTCTCTCTCTCTCTCTCTCTCTCTCTCTGTGTGTGTGTGTGTGTGTGTGTCTCAATTAAAGGCAAACAATAAGACAAACAAAACAAAAAGGCACACCAAAAATATGCAGGATGCTTTGTGTTGGGCAACTACTGGACATGGGACCTGCCCTGGAGCGATGGGACCCAGGGACACTCCATTGCAGAATTTCTGATGTCCCCTTTCCAAGCAGCTAGCAACTGCAAACAGCTTCTTGGTTAGGGATGGGACTTCGTGCCCACTTCCCCTCCTCCATGCTGGGACTTTCGTCCGGTTCGAACCTGTGCAAGGCCTGTGTGCTGTCACAGAACTCCGGTGCTGTGAGCTCATGTGTGTGTCAGCCCTGGTGTGTCTGGCACACATGAGTTTTCGAGCTCACAGGGACTGTGGTTTTGATGTTTTTCACTGGTTATGTAAGTTCTTATCCTCCTCACTTTTCCTCTTCCTGAAGTCTTTGTTCTCCGGTTCCTTCTAGAAGATGTCTGTAGACCTGTGCCCTACAGGGTTGCAGTTACCACAGGGAGACAGGGAAGCAGGGAGAGAATGAAGAAACAAACGGTCCCCCCTCGCCCTCATCCCACTCATGCCCTTCCAGTACCCCCCGCAACCCCGTACGCCAAGGGAAGCTAGCTGGCGCAGCAGCAGCAGCATGCCAAGAAACGCAGACAGTAGGTGAGGGCAGGCAGCTCCAGGAGAAGGGCTCGCCTTCCATCCCCGCTGTGAACAGGGAGAACCCTGCTCCAGCACAGAACTCTCAGCAGATCCTGGGACCATGTCTAGCTCTCCAGCAAACGTGGCTGGTACCATCTACAGGGTGAAATGGGTTGCAATGGACCCCCGCCCCTTCTTCCTTTGTTCCTGAGATTGGAGAAGCAGGTGGGCTAAGCAGCCCAGCAGGAGGTGAGGAGGAAAGGGTTACAATAGGCTCCTCCTCCTGTCCCCCCAGGGTACCCCACGGTATATTAAGACACTGACCACACCAACCACACTTCCCCCATCCTTGTTCCAGACTCATGATGGGGAATTTCCCCTGCTATTTAGCTGCATTTTCCTTTGCTTGGTTTTTGCTTCCTCGATTTACAGCACCCCGTGCTTCTCATTAAACAGAATTGGCCATTTCAGACGAGTTAAGTCATGCCCAGATACATGGCCACCAACTGGCTTAAAACTAGGACTGACTGCAGACGTCAGAGAAACTATCCATCTCTTTTTCCAGTAGCTTCTCCACATTCCAGGAAGTGAAAGAAACGACAGCTAAGGGGCCAAGGCAGAGGCTGCCTTGAAAGACAGCCGGGCCGCTCCCCCCGAGTGGCAGACTGTGACAAGCAGTGGATGAAACTGTCTGTATTCCCAAGCCTGGAATTCCAGCTTTCCACTCAGAGCAGCGCTATAAACTGAGCTATCGTCAAGTTTCCTCCTCAGAGCCGAAGCCACCATCTACGACAGACAGCCCAAAGAGCGGCAATGAGCGCAGCAGCTCAGCCACGCCCCCGGGGTGCTGAGAATGGTGGTCCCTAGGTCTTCCCGCTACACGGGCCAAGCATGGACCTTCGCCAGTCTTCATGCATTAGTTACCGTCTGAGGCGCAGTGAGGTGTGGCTGTGGGAGCCTGGGACTGGTAAATTTCCCATTTACCGGTCAAGCGGAGTCCACTTCATATGGAAGAAGCTATTTTTAGGTGTCAGCCAGCACACCCTGGCTGGGGCTCTTGGGTTGTGGTGGGGGCTCTGTCGCAGCTTCACAGAAGCAGCGGGCATTTCGCCTGGAGAGCAGAGTCTAAAGTGTACAAGCTGAGCCTGAAGGACACACAAATGTCACAGAGAATGCCCACTCCCACCCCCCTCAGGCCTTGGAAGGGATTCTCTGGGGCAATGCTGGCTTCAGAAGGGAGCCATGAACAAGCCTGACACTGTCACTTTAAAATGACAGCTCTCTGTCATTGTTCAGAAAATCTGGGCTCTGAGAATCTTTGTCAGAAAACTGTCTGCTTTTAAAGCCTTTTTTTACCTTAATTTTTAAATTTTATTATTGTATGTGAGAGAGTGCATGATGGGGAGAGGGCATGTGCCATAGCTTACATGTGGAGGTCACGTGCCATGGCTTGCATGTGGAGGTCACATGCCATAGCCTACATGTGGAGGTCATGTGCCACGGCTTGCATATGGAGGTCACGTGCCATAGCTTACATGTGGAGGTCACGTGCCACGGCATGTGTATGTAGGTCATGTGCCACAGCTTACATGTGGAGGTTAGGACAACTTTGGGAGTCTCTCTGTGTGTCTCTGTGTCTCTCTCTCTGTGTGTATGTATGTGTCTCTATGTATGTGTGCGTGTCTCTGTGTCTGTGTGTCTCTGTGTCTGTGTGTGTCTCTATGTGTGTGTGTTTCTATGTATGTGTGTGTGTCTCTGTGTGTATGTCTCTATGTATGTGTGTGTATCTCTTTGTGTGTCTCTATGTATGTGTCTCTGTGTGTGTGTCTGTGTGTGTCTCTATGTATGTGTGTGTCTGTGTGTGAGCATGCAGGCAGCAGTTGGCACTGAGTGTCTTCCTCAGTCACTGTCCACCTTGTTTAGCAGGCAGATTCTCTTGCTGAACCTAGAACTCGCCGATCAGTTAGTCAAGCTCACCAGCCTGCCCTCCGGTGCCCCGGGATGGCTTACCCGTGGGAGGCATCGCCTCCTCAGTCCTCAGGCTTGCATGGCAAGCAGTGTATCCTCTGTGCCATCTTCCCAGCCCTGTCTGCAGCCCTTAGAGTGTATCCCTTGCACTGAGAGCGGAGTGCCCCTAACCCGCATTCACCATGTTGCCCAAGCTCTGTTTCTAACATGCTGGGAGAACCTGGGGAGTTCTTCATATCTACAGTGGCTGTCCACCAGGCTGGTTTTATATGTAATCTTCTTGTATTTGTTTTGTTTCAGGGAAAACTCGATGCCTTGTGGGTTCTGCTAAGAAAGGGATATGACCGAGTGTCCGTGATGAGACCACAGCCGGGAGACACGGTAGGCTGCGCTAGCGGTCACACACACACACGCGCACACACACACACCACACACACACACCACACACACACACTTCTTTCCCTTTCCCTCTGTTTTAGCAGTACCAGAATAACTGCTCATGCACAACTACAGCTATTGTCTCCTGCGCCGACAAATCAGATGCCAACTTTTTCAATCCTGGTTGTTACCAGACCTTGTGATGGGTTTGCTTTTCTGAAAAGGACTTTGACAGCAATACATCATGTTTAGCTCCCTAGAACTTGAGAGCTGCAGTCTGGAGTGCAGGGGGTGCCAGCTCCAGGTAGGCTCATGCTGCGGGCAGCCTCCAGTGGGACATCTGTGGCCCTCATCTCCACGGGCCACTGAAGAGGCACAGAGGCAGCACCCCAGGAGAGGCATGAAGGCTGTGGAGAGCTCCAGCCAGCTGTCCAGAACTCTAGGGGGGCATCTACTCTCCTAAGGGGTGTGACCAGGATCTGTCAGGGGCCCAGCTGAAGAATCTCCCACTAGAAGGATCTACCCAGGTAGTGCCACCCTAGAAACCAGGCCACCGTTGTCTTCTCTTTGTAAACGGAGACAACAGAAGGTGAGCAATGCCCCTTCTTAGGAGAGGTTTCAATCCACAGATGAGGAAGACAGACTCAGAACAAAATTCTCTTTGCTTCCAGCCACCTGCATCTTCCTTGCAAACCTGGCCTGTTTACCCAAACACAAAATAAAGGTGTCTCTTTAAGGACTTCTGTGAGCCAGGCAGACTTCAGCTTGAAGTCACTTCCTTCCTGGCAAGAAAAACTTCAGGCAAACCCCCAACCTCTGTGTTTCCTCTTTGTAAATTTGATAATGGTAACCATATCATGGTTCAGCTGGCAGGCAATGGTAGCCCCTTGTCTGAGTTGGTTTCCCCGTTGCTCTGATAAAATAGCTCCCCAAGAAAGCAACTTAGTGCGGGAGCTGAACAGAAGGCTCTGCAGTTAGAGCCCCCACTGCTCTTCCAGGGAATCTGTTCGGCTGCTCCCAGCACCTGTACCACACTGATGCCCTCTCCCAGCTTCTGTGGGCACCAGGCACATACATGGTACACATAAACACATGTAGACACACACTGGAATAAATAAATAAATATCAACTTAGGAGAAAAAGAATATATTCAAACTCCTGGTTTGAGGCTAAAGTCCATCATGGCAGAAGTCACACAGCTGGTCACATTGCTACCACAGTTCAGAAGTGGGGAAGGATGAATGCTGAAGCTCAGGTCACTTCTCCTTGTGGAGGACCCAGGGACCTGGGCTGTCCACCTATAGTGTGGGGTCTTCCCACCTCAGTTAACCTACTCAACACAGTCCCTCACAATGCCTGAGGCTAAGAACCCTTCCCCCCACACACACACACACAGGTGTGCCTGAGGTTAAGAACCCCCACAGGTGTGCCTGAGGCTAAGAACCTCACACACACAGGTGTGCCTGGAGCTAAGAACCCCCACAGATGTGCCTGAGGCTAAGAACCCCACACACAGGTGTGCCTGGGGCTAAGAAACCCCCCCCACAGGTGTGCCTGAGGCTAAGAGCCCTCCCCCACAGGTGTGCCTGGGGCTAAGAATCCCACACACAGGTGTGCCTGGGGCTAAGAACCCCCACAAGTGTGGCTGAGGCTAAGAACCCCCACAGGTGTGCCTGAGGCTAAGAACCCCTCACATTATGCCTAAGAGAGTTCTAGGGCAGAAAAGACCACTGTGGTGTACCACCCTCTTCCCCTACTTTGTTTTGCATAACCCCAGGACGCTCGCTCACTACAGACCCACGGTGATGACTGTGCAAGATTTATGGGGCTGACCACATTTTCCATCAACTCGAAGTCACTCCCACCAGCCATGTGCCTGTGAACAAGAGTCACAGGTTCTGAATTTTCCTCTAAAGCAAAACAAAAACAAGTCTCAGCCACACTCTGAGCTGCTTCAGAGTGCTGTATTCCGGGAGCCTGGCAGCTCCTCCCCTGGGCTCCTGTCCCCTTCTCCAGTCAACATACCTGGAAGGGCCAGCCCAACATTGCAAGGGCTGTGGAAACTTGAGCCTGTTACCTCAGAGCTGAGCACAGGACAGACATGGCTGCATCCCCACCTGACACCCTCTTTCAGCCCTGGGAAGGCTCACAATCCATGGTTCCTTGAATCCCACCAGGGAATCCCTAGGTCAGTGTAGAAGGGAAAGTGACAGGACCATTTAATAGCAAGCCAGTGACCATTTGGTTATACCCAGGGTCCTAACATTTTTAAAAGTTTACTAAGCAAGGGGAAGGGAGGATCCCTTGCTTGCACCAATCCCTGCTTTCAGTAAACAGTCACTGGGGTGCCCTTTCTAAAGTTTCTAAAACAAAGCCTTCAGTGTGTCCTTCTTGACGTCTGACATGCAAGAAATAGGAAAGAATGAAAGAGAGAGAGAGAGAGAGAGAAGAAAAGGAAACAAGAAGAAAACTCCAATGTTTGGATTGATCAAAAGAAGTCTCCCTTTCTATTTCATCTGCTATTCACCCTCATTCCTTGGTCAACTCTGACGCCAGCTGCATGAAGCTCACCGCTCCCTGAACCTGCTAGGACCTTGTAAAAGTCCTGTTTCTCTGTTGCTGTGCCTTCCCTTCCCCTCCACTTAACGAACTTCTGTTAGCTCAGCATCACGGTTCACCATCTCCGTGGTGACCCTGTCAACACAGAAAGCTAGACCCATGCTTCCACCATGGCAGTGGCAAAGCAGAACCCGTGTGACACATGATGAAAGAGAACCTTTGCACATTGTGTAGACTGTCCCCGAGGCTTCCTGCACAGGTGAGCAGCTCGGATTTCAGGGATCTTACTCATCTTTTAGAATGTTTAGCCTGAGAAGAAACGCTCAGAAGGCTCACGAGAGTTTTTCCGTGGCCTTTCTTAGTCACTGCCGCTCCTCTTTCATGAACCTGGTTTATTCTCCTCACTGTATCCACGGAGTGAGCTTTCTGTTCCAGCGAGCGCCCTGTCCTAAGGCTACCTCAGAGAGACAGTGCCATCTTTCGTTGTGTACTTTTTCCTTTGAGGACATTTATTCCCAAGTGATTACTGTTACGTTACTAAAACCGAGAAATGGTCGTTTGGCTAAGTGTCCGGCTCTGGACCGCTGAGGCTGACGTAGACATTCCCAAATCACAGCCCTAAAAGTTCACATAAATTTGCCTTCCTGTCAGCATCTTCAGCAAATCCAATGGGCTCAGGAAAGTCAGCTATTCGATACGAGCTATCTGGTGGGACAATTTTGCAGGTGTTCCTTTTCTCTTTCTCTAGCTATCTGTGCGTGCTTTTGATCCACCTTTAAGATTTATTTTATTTTTGAATTAATGTATGTGTGGAGGATATCTGTATGTGGGGGGTGTGACCATAGAGGAGCACCAGATCCCCTGGAGATGGAGTTACAGAAAGTTGTGAGCAGCCTGACACGGATGCTGGAAACTGAACCCAGGTCCGCAGCAAGCACAAATATTCTTAACCGTTGAGCCATCTCTTCAGCCCTATGGATCCACTTTTCTATTGAGTTTTTAAGGCTGACTTTTCCAAAGACACTTTCTTCAGTAACTTAAGGTTAGCACACAGGACTAAAGCAAGGTATATCAGCCGGGGTTCCTGGAGCAGATCAGTGGTTCTCAGGGGTGGGCAGGCTTCAGAATCACTCTGAAAATTTAACAGGTTGCTGGGCCCCAGCTCAGGGATTCCCACTCAGTCACTATGGGCAAGACTGGGAATTCACATTTCTAAGGTGACTCCAGATAACACTAACACTGCAGGGCTGGGGTTCACACTTAGAACCAGGGGGATAAGTGAACTCAGTGCCATCAGAGCCCCCCAACTCCCAATCCTGTCAGCCTGGATCTTAACAAGATTTCCATACACACCTGACTGCTGAGTCATCTCTTCCTGTATTTCCACGTGACCCATAGCCTTGGTGCAGAATATCTTACCTAGCTTAATAAGAAATCATAAGGCCCGATCCGCTGCCAAGAAGTCTCCCTAGCCAGGAGTCCTGTGCCTAGATCACTAATTCCAAACACATTATCAGGTAAGAAAGGTTGGATGAAGTGTAGTGATTCCCAGGCTGGCTTCAAGGCACATGGCTCCGGCTCCAGGGATTCTTTTCAATCGCTCTGGCCGTGGTCTGTGCTCTCTGGGCAGTTCTCACAGGCTCCAGGCCTGAGAACTAGTAAAATGGCTCCACAGAATGTCATCCATTTCTATCGGGAACAATTTAAAGGCAAGTTTCCACATTCTGAAAAGTCACAGGTGTCCAGCAAGTGAACAAGTCACGATCTCCTTCCTCCCAGGGAGGGAGGCCAAGTCTAGATTCTGGCTGCTGATGTTGTGGTTGTTTGGGGGTAAGGAGGATAACCCCACCTTGAGTCTCTGTGGATGGAAGTCAGTGCTTCCCTCCACAACCTAAGCCTCACCCCCTTCTGTCTGCCCCAGCATGAACCCCAGTCCCTCACATGCTGCTGGATGACCCATGGAGCTAGACCTTTGTTTTGTTTTTAGCTCCTTGGTTGCTCTCAGATCTGGCATCAGGGACTGGTACATTCCTTTACTCCCTGCACACAACAGGCTCAGAGCTTGTTTTACAGACTGGGAACTCCTCGCGATCAGAATAGATCTGAGGAAACACACACGTAAATGTATGTAAACAATGTCGGCCGCTCGTGAATGTCAGCACAGCCAGCCCTGGAAGTTGAGCAATCTGAGCTCCAGCCCCAGGGCTGTCTTCTGCACAGCTGTTTGCAACAAGGGAACGAGGTTGCTTATGTAGGCTTTGTGTCTGCGCTGTCACAGAGAAGGGAAAGAGCTGAGTAGGTTGTCCATCCCAGGGACTTTCTGAACAGGTGAGCCTCCAGTACCATGCACTGACATTGGGCAAGCATGCCTGCCTTGTCTTCATGTTTCTTCTCCTTCGTGAGGCCTGCAGTCCCTCTTTTTCATCTTCCCATGGCTTCTTCCC